GTTGCTGGCGGCGCAGGCGTTGGCGTCGCAACGTCAAGCCATAGAAAGCATCGCATTGTCGGTGTGTGAAAGCGAATTCGAGTGCTGTCAATCCGCGGCCCCCTCTCACTCCCTCCCTCCCCCTCCTCTTCCAACCACTTTCGACGCCGCGCCGCTTCGATGTTGTAATGTGCGTTGCGATGACGTCGACGCGTCAACGCTCCCACATAACAGCGAGAGACGCTCACACACACACACGCACGCACGCACAGCTATGCCCACATGCACGCACGCACGCAGCTCACGCACTCTCTCTCTCTCGTTCTCGCTCTCTGTGTGCTTTCTTGTCTGCGTTTGCATGTGTGTCTGTGTGTGTGCGTGTGGATCTTTTCGGGTGAATGACCGCCGAAAATTAAATTTTTTGTCGATTTTAGACTTTTACTATGTTGACGTTGATGATGATTGTGTATTGTGCCGTTGCTTCGCTCGCCTTTTGACGAAGCTCGCGCACACAAACTCAGCGAAGAGTGAGGAGAGAGAGCTAGAGGGATAGAGAGAGAGGCAGATACAGCTATAATGCGCTGCTTTATAGTTTAGTTCGCACTATCGCGCGTATATTTTATGAATGCGGGGAAGTGGGTGGCAACTGGGCAGCAGGGAACGACCTGCAAGCTCTACACGTGTGTATGTGTGTGTTTGTCTGTGTGTGTGTGTGTGCCTAGACTACACAATCAGCAAACGCAGCGCAGGCATTTCACTCAGCAGCAACAGCAACAACAACGTGGAACGACAACTTTTTTTTGTTTTTTTTTTTTTCGTTTGCTCTTTTAATTTTTGTTTCTTTGCTCCGCTGCAAGGGCTTGCCAGGGTTAAGGGGGTGGGGCGTAGGGCGGTACGTGCGATCGCCAGCCACTTTCGACAACGAGTCTTTCGCTTTTTTTCTCTTTCTTTCTTTCTTCTTCAACTTTTTTTTTTTTTTGTTAATTTTTTTTTTTTTTTGGCCGCTTTCTGTTTACGCCGCATTTCTTTCACTTTGTACCGTACTATCTGTTTGCTGTTTTCTGTTTCACATTTTATTGTCGTCTCCACTCGCTCGCTTCTTTCTTTCTTGTTGTTGTTTTTGTTGCTGTTGTTGTTTTTGTACTTTTATGAAGTACCGAGCGCCAAATGCCGAGCGACAAGCTGCCTGTTGCCTTTTTGGCAAAACTCTCGAGACAGCTCAAAGTGAAAATTTCAATAAAACAAAGTTGCCAACTCTTCTCCCCCTGCTACACCTCCTCTTCTCCTGCTGCTGCTGCTGCTGCTGCTGCTACTGTTGCTGTTGTTGTTGCTGCTGCGGTTGCTGTCGCGGAAGTCATAAAGGCAAATTGCATGCATATTTTTGTCGAGTATTACGAGCCCCAGAGCCCTAGCCCCACAGTGCCGCCGCTGCCCCTTCCCCCCCTCGCCCTTCCCTTAAGTCAGCTGCACACGCAACTCACGCAGCTAAAATAAAATTATTTTTTCTTTTAGTTTCAACATTTGGTGGCTTTTAATTGTTTGATTTTTTTTTTTTTTTTTTGCAGGCAGGAAAGTTTTTCACGAATATTATTCAAAGTGATCAATGAGAGAAAAGATGATTAGAGTTATGTTTAAAGTTCAACATATAGATCTTTTAAGTACATTCATATCTGTTACATTCTGAAGATTATTAAAAATATTTTACGAAACTAAATTTTTTTTTTAAATTTAAAAAAAGTTTTGATCTATTTAATCTTGGGTCTAATGCTGTAATTTCAAATTAGATTTCTATTTTCATTTTTTTTACAGATTCCATATATCATCTAAGATATTCGTTCATACACTTCCATAGAAAGGAGAGCCAAATTTCTTGTAAGTTGATTAATTTCTCATATGTTTCAGGTAGAATTACATATAATTTATGCGCCATAAATTGCCCAGAACATTATAATAAAACAAAACCATTATACCTTGATTTCCCCATTTTCAAATGGGTTCAAGGTATAAAAAAGCGTTAATGGAACTTGTTTCCCTTGATGTTTTACATAGGCTTAAATAAGGATATCAAAGATGAAAAAAAAACCTATTCTAATAATAGTTTTTCTTTTTTTTGGGGTCAGCGCACGCAACATTTTCGCTTTGATTCGACACGAATGGCCGGTGGGGCGGCTTGGGGGTTGTTGGTTGGGGCAGAGGGGTTAATTTAAGAGGGAGGCCGTTGTAGGGCTTATTTCTTGTCCATTTGCCCAGCTAAAGGTTTCTCACTCGTTAAACACAGAGATTGAGGCCTGGCGATTAAGATTTATGACGGACCAGGACGAATGAAAGGAGCAGCAGGCAGCAGGAGGCGGGAGGCGGGAGGCGGTAGAAGAAGAAGAAGCAGGAAAGCAAACGCATTAACCATCAAAAAAAAAAAAAGGAAAGCGAAAAGCCTGACAAATGCTCATTATTCATTTTGGGCCGCTGACCCCGACGAGAGGTCAAAGAACGCAAAGCTTGACTGATAACAGCGAGAGTGGGAGTGGGAGAGGGAGTGGGAGTGAAAGAGAGACAGAGAGAGTGAGAGGGAGAAGTAGGCAGATAGTTGCAGCAATTTATATTGTTTATATAGGTATATATAGTTTATATATATTTAATGTAAATGGCAATTGCATTGAGCCAAAAATAAACTCAATTCGAAAGCAAAAACAACTATAAAAAAATTGTGAAAAAATAAAAAATAAATATGTAATAAAAAGAAAAATTGCCAACAATTTTTACGTAGCCATAAAAATGATGCGAGTGTGTGTGTGTGTGTGTGTGCACAATTCATATATTTATATAAACCAACATATACACAGCCAAAAAAATAAACTTTTTGTTGTTGTTGTCGTTGTTGTTGTTGGCATTACAATATCGCTTTTTATTGCTGGCGCGCGAATTTCAATTTGCAACTGAATGAGAGAGTGTGTGTGTGTGTGTGTGTGCACCTATTGCATATAGAGATACGTATATGCATACATGCATACCTGTATCTGTGAGTCAGCTTTTGAGCAAAGGGTCTCTTTCATTGGCGGCTTATTGAAGGCGACTTAGTCAGCAAACTGATTGCCATGTCGAATTAGTTTAATTGTTAATGCAAACGACAAACGACACTGAGCGAAAAGGCAGTAGAGAAAGAAACAGAGAGTGAGAGAGAGAGAGCGAGAGGGAGAGTAAGAGGTTGTTTCATAATAATTGTTGCGTCTTTCTTCACGGATTTTCCCTACAATATAATTCCGCTTGAGAAACTCAAAAGTCTCCAGTCGGATGTCTCTTTCGGCCTGAACTTTCACTGCCAACAGCAGCAGCAGCGCAGCAGCGCAGCAGCAGCAGCCGCAGCAGCAGCAACAACGGCAGCAGCTTAATTTATTTTGGGCACTGACCAATCAGCTAACCGAACGAGCCAACACAGCGACCAGCTAACCGACTGACACTGACTAACTAACACACAAAAGAAACCAACAACAAAACCAGCTCAAAAACACAAAAAAAAAAAAAAAAAAATTATAAAAATTGCGAATTGTAATTTATGTGTATTTCCACTGACTAAACTGACTCGCTGCACCTGTCGTGTTTGCCTAGCCAATATTTGGCTAGGTGTATTTTGGCCAGTAGCAAATACTTGGCAAATTAACTAGCATTACCTCCATTAGTTTCGCACTTCACATGGTAGAGCCAATTGCATTTGCTAGGGTTGTAATTGAAAAATATTTTACCATAGCTAGGCATCAAATAGATAGTTATGAGAAATCCGGAAGGGGAACAAATTAAGGAGCATATATATAGATGTATATTTGGGTATATTTTAGCTAAATTATTTATTTTTTGATTTGCCTTTAATATTCTTTCACATGCAGACTCTGAAGAGCTAAACTTGAGCACCTGCCAGATCGCATTTATTCCAATATCGATCACAAAGTCCGAGTGTTGTCAACTGTTGGTCTTAATAGATTTAATCCATAACATACCCAAAATATATTGTAAAAACTCTTATAATAAAAATATTCAATAACAAAATTGAATGTAAGTTACATTTACGTACTTGTAAATTATATACATGTATATTTTTTTTCATAGTAAAAAAATTCGAACAGTTCACGATTCCTAGAAATATGGAAGACGTGCCTAACAGATGAATCCAGGTTTTATATACATACATATATTATAAAAAAAATATATATGTATATATGTATAGATACATTTATTCACAATGTAAGCCTGGAGTAGTTGAATCATAGAGCAGGCAAATTTTAGAAAACTTGAAAAATACAAAAAAAAAAAAAAAAAATTTTAAATGATATATGTAATACTGCTTAGGGTTGCATTACTTCTACACAAAACCCAAAGAAAATAGTTTCGCTTTAACAGACCTCATCGGGCATATATATTCTTGATTCGGACAACGTGTCAAATCAATGTAGTCCTGTTCTAACGTCTGCACATACATATGTATGTCTGAACGCGTGAATCTCAGAAACTATAAGAGCTAATGTCTTTACATTTTGTCGTGGAGGTCTCTATACTCTCTATATACAACAAATTAGATAACTATTTCTGTTTTATGTTGATTTCTATGAAATAATTATAAATATGTTTCAATCCAGTTTTACTGATAGAACATATTCTTATATATTGCTATATTTAAGAAGTTATATTAAAGTGCATAAGTTTCACTTCTCTATTGTTCGCTGTAGAAGTTATAAGAATTAAGTTTCAGGGCAAGTAATATTTTTTGCTTTTCATCTTTAAGATTATGTCTGTAGGTTAAGAAATATTTTAGCATTACTTCAGGTATTACTTGAAACAACTAAATGTTGTTTTAGATTCTAGACACCTTTAAGAATTATTTTTAATTTTTAACTTTAATATTTATACATATTCATACTCTCTATAAGTTAGTTTTGCTTTTAGATTAAATAAATATATAAGTATGCATAGCAATTTTTCACCTATTCCTATATATATGCAAATTTCTTTGGCATTATTGTGCAGCGCTTTACCTTTGATAGAACCGCTTGAGTTGTTTTGTCCCGCTGGCGATTGGACGTTGCTTTGACCCAGGTTATTTGCGTGTGCTTCCAGTTTCGAAGTGACGCTGCTCCACATGTCAAACATACGTTGCGTATACATAATTAAAGTAAACGTCTAAGCGCCTGGCCACCCACAAAACTCGTATGTTAAGTTTGTATTATAATTATTATTATTATTATTATTAATGTTATTACTGTTGCATTTATTGTTATTACCGTTACTGTTTATTGTTTCAATTGTAAATTCAAATGTAGCAAAGGCAACACGCACGCACACTCACGCACGCACGTACACACACACACACACACACGCAGCAGCTACATAGCCAGAGGTGTGTGTGTGCGCAATTGTAACTGTATTTTACTTGTATTTCAATACAATCTATATAAATTTTATTGTATTTTCTTTTGTTTTTCTCTTGTTTTTCTAACTGTTATAAAGTAAACGCTTTTTGTTTGAGTGGCGCGGGAATTTTTGTTTGTTGCTGTTTTTATTGCACTTTTTTTGTGGTTGTTTATTAATTTATATTTTATTTTACTTGCTTTTATATGTGAAATTTCTAATATCACAGTGGGGGGGTAGGGCGGGGCAGGGGGCTGTGTGTGTGTTAATGCTTAGGCGCTGCTTTAGCCAAAAACTATATAGACTGTTTATATATATATAGAGATGTATATAACTATTAACTATATATATATATATATATATATATATATGTATATATACTTGTATGTATGCGTGTATGTATATATGGGGTTTGTTGTTGTATATAGAGTTCTAACGTTGTCTTCAGGCCCTTTAGGTACTAAAACTTGTTTCTGCTTTATATATATATATATGTATATATACTTTTAGATCTGGTTAATAATTTGATGTTTTCTTCTTTTTTTTTATGAATTTTTGTTGTAGACTATTTTAACTATTTAATAAGACACTTGTTCGCGTTTATATTTAGATAGAAATGTTTTTTTTATTTTTTGAATATTTTTTAAGCAATTGTTTAATTAGTTTTTATTTTATATATATTTTTTTAAATTGTTAGCAATATTTTTTTTTTTTTAGCCCTTTTGCAGCACATGCAAATTTTGATGGCTGGCGAATTTGATATTGTTGCCTTTTGAAGTTTTGGGCTCTTGTTGTAGTTGTTGTTGTTGTGGTTGATTTAGCACTTTCACTGCGACTTTGTGGTTGTTGTTGTTGCCGTTGCTGCGTTTGCTGTGATTTTTCTGTTGTTGTTGTTTGCTGCTGTTGTTGTTGTCGCTGGCGCCGTTGTTGCTGTTGCTGTTGGTGTTGTTGCTGCCGCTGTTGTTGTTGTTGTTATGCTCATTGTTTTGTCGATTTCTCTGTTTTGTTTGATTCCAAATCAAAATTTCCAAAAATACGAAAATTTCACGACAATTAATTCCGGAAGACATTTAGGCGCATTCTTCAAAACAGCATTTCAAATGAATTTCGTTTAATAACTTTTCCTTTTCACATATAAGTATATACAATGTATATTCATTTATATACATACAAATATACATATATATATATATATATATTAATTTAACTTGATTGTTTGGTTGTTGTTTATTTAAACACTTTGATGTATAAAATGGTTTGGCCCGTTATATAAATGCTTTTGCTGCGCGTTGTTAGCCATGGCCAATGCATGGCATTCAGCATATTGTTAATTTTCAATACGGGGGCGTGGCAGTTAGCCTGTGAATTTTTTGGGTTTTTTATTTTAGACTTTTTAATTAATATATACATATATATACAGACATATTATATACACATACATATATACACATGTGTGCGTGCATGATTTTCTTTTTTCCAATAATTGAATTTGCCTTTAAACATGAAACGGGGCGCGAATACGGTACATGAAAACTGGGCCGCAAAACTCCTAACCAGCACGACCCCCACCTAGACAACGATAGACCCACACACCCACACACCCATACACCCATACACCTCCCCCATCCCCAAGCAACAGCAACTCCAATGTGGCAAATGCATGAGAATGTAACATGAACATGAAAAATCGATATAGAAATGAGATTTAAGGGTGCTAGACAAGCTAGAAAAGGGGGCGGGGGCCTAAGGGGGCGACTAGTCATAATATAGCTGTATGTGTGTGTGGGCTGGGGGTGGGGCAGCTCTGGCAGACAGGCGCGCCGCCTGCAGAAACGAACATGAAATGCAGTTTACGAAGCGACAGCAACAACAACAACAACAACGACGCATAAATCACACAACGAAAGCTCTGCACGTGTGTGCGAGAGCGAGCGAGAGAGAGAGAGAGAGAGAGTGACAAGCCATGTGCGTGCATGTGCGTGTGTGTGTGTGTGTGCGCTTGTAAACACTGAAAAAGTTCTATGACCCAAAGCTTCAGCGTTTGCCGGCAAAAGCAAATGAATATAAAACACATTTTTACTTTTTTCCTTCTTCTGCTTCTTCTTCTGTTTTTCTATTTCGATGAGGCGAGGAGGAGAGGGTGAACAGTGCTTAGCTGGAGCGTAGCACAGTGTGAGGTTTTAGTTGTGAGGGTGGGAGCCCTGTGGGGGTTAGTTAATAGGAACTTCAAATGCGGAAGCAGCAGCAACAGCAGCAGCAGCAGCAGGCGGGGAGTGAGTGAAACAAACGCAGCGCAGCGCAGCTCAGACATGCAAATACGTCACCAGTAAATTGCTGTTATTGTTGTTGTTGTTGCTGTTGCCGTCGTCACCAAAGCGACAACAACAGAAATTGTGCCAGCAGCGACAACAGCAACAAAACACAAACTAACTGTAACTAAAGCAGCGCCAGCATTTCTTTTGCCCCTACTCCCTGCCCGCCGTTTACTATTGTTGTAATGGAGAAATTTACATATAGAAAACGTAGATAGCAGAACGCTGGCGTCGCTGCCGCCAACGGCAGTGGGCAGCACTGAGAGCGGCATAGAGTCAAATAAACTGAAAAGAAAATGAAAATGAATAGCAAAAGCAACAGCAACAGCAACAGCAGCAGCAACAACAACAACAAGAGGAAGAAGCACAAGCACAGCGAAGGCATGAAATTCAAAAATTCTCTCACAGCGAGCGCACACGAATACAACGACAACGACAACGAACTTACTAACGGTACTAAGCCGGTCAAGCCCGAAAAAGGGAGGCAGCAACAACAACAACAACAACAACGGCTGACGACAAAGTTACATGCTGACTGCTAGCGTCGCTGCTGGCGTCGCTGCCCCGCTGTCGCAGTACGTTGACGCCGAAAAAGACCAATGACCTATGCTAGAGCTCTGCACACACACACACACACACACAGGCACAGGCAAAGGCATAGAGAGACACAAAGCATGCATAGGCGCTGTCGCTGTCGCCGTCGCCGTCGTCGTCGTCGTCTCTGTCGCCGTCGCTGTCGCTGCTAGGCTTTTATTTTATATACTTTGGTTGTTTTTTTTTTGTGTTTTAGCTTGGGTCTGGGGTGGCTCTGGCACACTTATAGACGACACATTGAGTGTGTGCTTAGCAATGTTGTTCTACTAACGGTAATGCAAACAGTTGTTGGGCGCGCTGGGCGAAAAGGTAAGGGTGCGAGCGAGACGGCCAATGACAGTGGGCGTAGGCAGCGGAGACAGCGCTGCTCTAGGTGCTCTGAACTCAACTGAACTGAACTCAACTGAACTGAGCCGAGCTGAACTAATGCTAGCGACCAACTGGGTGACTTACTGTGCAGTTGAGCTACTCTAACTACCAACTGCTAACTGTTCCTAGCTAGCTGTTTTCCTTTGGCGCGGAAAGCTAAGAAACTGTCTACGGCCATTATAAATACCAGCCCCAAAAACCAACAACAACAACAGCAACAACAACAGCAACAATGACTGATAATCATAACTGGTCACAATGGGCAACAATTTGCATTGTTTTGAGTTTTTGATTCGTTTGTTTGTTTGCTGTTGGAGCCGTACAGGGTAGCGGGTGTGCGGGTTGGGGTTGGACAAGACAATGTGCCTACATTATGAAAGATTATTACTGTGAACTTTTGACTGTCTGGCTGAAGGCAGTTGCAGCAGCAGCAGCAGCAGCCGCCGCTGCAGCAGTAGAAGAAGAAGAGACAGCAGCAGCAAAGATTTGCAATTAAACTCTAATTTGAGGCAGCTAGACAACCCTAAACAAATTCAAACTATTCTGATCTATTGATTTATGCAAAATTAAGCAACTTTAGTGAAGCACAAAAATGTACAAAAAATGTGTTAAATCAGCACAAGTGTTAATCTAAAATATAAATATACTAAATCTTTAAATCAAATCTTACTCTCTCTACGGAGAAATTCGGTTCTATATCGTTTGACTGCTTCTTAGTTCTTAGCTTGAAAGTTTTTAAACTATATACACATATTCCTTGTAGAAATCTAAACTGAGTGTACCTGAAAGCATTTACATAAATATTCCTTTTAGAAATCTGGTCGGAATGTATTTAGCATATATTTAATAAGAAAAATCTATAATTTGCATATAAGAAAATATTCACAAAATTTTTATTTCTATTAATGTATGTATATATTTAAAGTAAAGTCTATTCTATTTCTAAGGTATAGAAAAGTAAGTCCTCCAAATGTATCTATCTACAACTCTACTCTTGATATTTTATGGTATAAAGGCTTTAATAGTTCTAAATTGCAATTACATAGTCTAACTGACAATATGATATAAAATATTATTTTTTATTATTCTAGAGTTCTATATTATAAGAGATATAATATAGAGTTAAATTTATCAAATCTGCATATCAAGTACAGCATTTGGTAAAAATTTAGTTTGCCTTGTGAGTTGGAAAATTAGCTTTGACTGCAATTAAGCGATGCGGGTTCAACATGAAGAAGAAGAACAACGAAGTTTTATACAAGCTTTTCTTGAACAAATTGAAGACAATTACAGCAAAATAAATTGATATTCGCTTAATGAAGCTTGAAAAGTTTCAAAAATATATATTGTATAATTAACAACTGAATTACATGTAATTCATGATAAGGGTTTTTTTTCTAAATGAACTAGAAATTGAATGCAATTGGTTACCAATTGGAAAATTTGGATTTATTTGACGCTGAGATCTGATTAATAAAAGAGTTGATAAAATTTTTTTTGTGACTTTAGCAAGAAGAGCAGAACAACAACTGTAGATAAAATTCCCTTAGGAGATATAAATCTTGCTAATCAGATTCTTATCAGTTATAATTGTTAGTATTATTTGAATTATCAGATTTCTGGATATAGAAAACTAAACTAAAATGTAGCTACAATTTTATATTAGAGCAAGCTACAGTAGAACCCAGCCACAAAAACAATTATATAGCTTTTTATTCCAAAACCAAGCTTTATGTAAGGGAAATTTTGGAATATTTTCATCTAGATATAGAAAACTGGAAAACTGGCAAAATGAAAAAAGTTAAATGGACAAAGCATATATAAAACCCCTACCAAATACAACTCCGAGCTAACACAAACTTTAGACAACTTAGTCAACTACAGTGCTGCATCGATTTAAAGTACAAATTCAATATGTGGCAAAAATCTTTTGGAATAAATTTTCAAATGCAATCGATAAATGTTAGAGTCTTTAATGGGATATATATGTTAATATATGAATATATATATATATGTATATGTATATATAGTGATTATTTTTAAACAGTTTTTCAACTGGTTTTAATCCGTTTGGCTTAATCAATAAATTATCCAATTTGTGTTGATTTTTTTGTTCATTTTGGTAATCCAATAAATATTCTGCTCTTTAACGATCCTTTATGCCACACAAACACACAGAAAGTCACACACACACACACTCACAATAATTTATTGCATTACACAATTCATATTTATGGAGGGTGTGTGTGCGTGGGCGTATGTGTGTGTGTGTGTGGCAGTGGGCTGGGCAGAGCAAGAGGCAGAGAAGGGGCCGAAGGCTTTGCATTCTCAGCTGCTCCAAAAGTTTTATTTTTGTTGTTTTTTATTTTATTTTTTTTTTTATTTGGAGTCTGTACCAATAAATTACGTCACTTGCACTTCCGTTTTTGTTGCTGTAGCTGTATTTGTTGTTGTTGTTGTTGCAGTCGCATCACGAGACGTTGCAGTTGCTGCACGATTAGGCACGATTTGGAATTTGAATGCACACTTTAGATATTTGCTGCTGCTGCGGCTGCTTATATATATTTTGTTGTTGTTGTTGTTGTTGTTGACTTTGCTTTACATTTCTTGTTGTTGTTGTTGCAATTTGTATTTTATTTTATTTTGCGTCGCGGGGGAGGCTGCAGCCTGAAACCGAGCAACTTCACCGATGCCAGCAGCAAATTAGCCAGGCATTTTGCAATATTTGAATTTGTTGCAGTTGTTGCATTTATAATTTTCTATCGCTGCACACGCACCGTACGCACACACACGGTCACACACACACTCATACACACACAGAACCACAAGCACACAAATCGAGAGACGAACGAACGCACTCAGGCACACACACTCACACACAGATAGACACGGAGGAGAGCGAGAGGCGGGCGCGTAATAGTTGAAAAAACGCATACACGGAGATACAATTATACACACACACACGCACACACATACGAAGAAATCATATACAATAAGTATTAAACAACAACAAATAATTAATAATAAAGATACAACGCGCAACGCATCGTAACCGCCGCCGCGATACGCTCAATACGAAGTGTAGCTGAAGACTGCCTCAAAATGTTATCGAGTTCGTTGTCCAAGTGGCGCGCCGCATTGCGGCCTCAGAGTATGTGGCAGCAACGCACACACACATACACACAGATACGGATGGAAACATTCATACAAAGCAAAGAGAGAGCGCGCTCCAAAGAGCGAGCGTTTGCCGTTGCGCTCGCTCAACATTTGCCTCCACCTCCAGCTGCTCCGCTCCCACCCAAACACCAGCCAAAGCACTGTTGATGGCAACGGCAACGGCAACGGCAACGGCGACGGCGACGGTGACGCCGACAGCGCTGCCTGCTGAGTGGGTATATGTGTCTCTGTGCCGATGACTTCTTCAATTTTTTTCAGCATTACGCTTTGTGCCGTTCATTCGCTATGGCAACCGCTCCACTGGCGCTTTTCTATCTGCAGGCGTATGTTTCTGTGTGTGTGTGTGCGAGAGTGAGCAGCGCGCGCTTTTTACTAATCAGCTGTTAGCACCGCTCTTACACAAGAGAGAGCGCCAGCTCGAAGAGAGTGCGCTAGAGTGAGAGCGCGCTTCAAAGCTTTGCTGCAGGCGGAAAAAGCTGTGTGCCATATTACTATTATTACAGCATTTGTTTTCATGTATTTTTTTTTTTTTTTTTTTTTGTTTTTGCTGTTGTCTTTTGTTTTTGTTGGCGATTTTTGTGCATTTCCTTTTTGTGCTGCGCTTCTGTGGCCGTGCGACTGCCACTGCTACGGCTACTGTCATTTCCATTTGAAATTCCCAATTAGCAGGTCAATTGCTTTTTAGGCCAAACTGTGTGCATTGCAGTTGACTTGCTTTGCCTCTCTGTCGCACTCACTGTCATGCTCTCTCTGTGTCTTTGTCTGTCTGGACTAGTCTGCCTGGCTGCATGTTTTGTCCATTTCTTCCTTTTGCTGTCGCTCTTCCTGTGCGACTGTGTGTGTGTCGTATATGTGTATGCGGCATTTAATTACACTTTTAGTTGATTTTCCTCAACGACTCACTTATGCATGAAAATTGTTTCTAATGGCTTTGCAAATTGCGCATAAATGCATTTTTTATAATGCCAAATACAGACACACGCGCACACATGGGAGTGAGTGTGCGTGCATGTGTGTGTGTTTGTCGCCACTTAACATGAAACAGTTCTCAGCTTTGATGTCCTTTGTGCCCATTTATAACATGGAAATTATACTTATTCTTATGCTTATTAAACTGGCTTAAGACAAATTTAGCATAATCAGCTTTTCTATTGAGTCTCAAAATGGTTTTTAATTTTCCTGCTAGTTTTTAAAGTTAACTTTTGCGTTTGAACTATATAGAAATGTTAAAAAAAAAAAAAAATTAAAAAAAAAAAATACATATTATAATATATCTATAAAGATATCTTAGATTTTCTGAACTGAAAACGTTTTAAAGTGTTGAATAAAAGTTTGAATAGTTTATATTTACGTGGTTTTATTCATGATTCAAGCTTCAAACTATAAAATAAAACCTTGAGATAAATATAAAAGATTATGTAATAATTTAATGAATATTTATTTAAAAATTATTAAATTTTTAATGAATTTTTATTTTTAAAATTTTGAATTTTTAATGAATTTTTATTTATAAAATCTGAAATTCGTAATGTAAATAAAAATACAAATTATTTCATGTTTAATAATTTTCTTTGTTTTTAATTATTGTAAATTTAATGCATGTTAATTGTATTAAATATTTGTTTGTAACCGAATTTAAATAAGGAAATAGAAAAATAATTGAATATTACAGAAAAGAGCTTTAAAGGCATTGAAATATTACTCAAATTTTATGTTGCTGGATTTACATTTCATAACAATTTTATTTATTTATATCTTCGTTGGGCAAACTAAAAGCTATACAAAACTGTTTTATATAAGTTTAGAGTCAAGGATTCCCCTTAAATATGATGAAGCCGATTATAATATAAGGAGGGTATGGCATATATACATATATATGCATGTATATGTATATATAACACCTATTCAGTAGCTTTGCTTAACAAATTGAAACGATTTCGTTTGACTAATCTTTTTCTTATTTATTTCATTTTTAGTTTATATGTAATATTTAAAAACGAAATTGATTTTTAAAAAGCTCGCGAAAAAATCCCCGAAAATATCGCTAAAAGCATAAATAAATAAAATATAAATGAGGAAAAAGAGGCAACCGCAAGCGGAGCAGCTGCTTCAAGGTAAACCGGAGTCAAAGTTCACAAGCAAGATATTATATTGAATTATGTTTCAGGAGGCATAATGAAAAATAAAATAAAATCACAAAAATTAAATCAAATTAAGTCAACTTAGGCTAAAAAAAAATGAGATAGCAAATGATGTTGCAAGTTGACTTTCGGCTTGCAAAATTCGAAACGCTGCAAAGCAAAACAAAGTTGATAAATTAATATTTGGTTGTAGCTAATTTATGTCTTGTTATTGTTGTTGTAATGCATACAATTAACTCTGCCGCAACACCAACTCACACACACACACACACACACACATACAAATGTAGCTGTTAAGCATGTGCCTGAGTTTTGGGACAGTATAAGAAATATAAATAAAAAAACTTTGCATAAATGTAAAAAAATAATAATAAAAAAAAAGTATATAAAACTTCATATTACGAAATCGATTGGCAAAAAAAAAAAAAAAAAAAAAATCAAAAATCAAAAATGTGTATCTATATGATAATGAAACGATGCTACGGTCGATTGGAAAAAAACCTCATGCTGCGCTAGCTAATGGATGGATGGGTACGACCGTCCGTCGCACCGTCTGTCCGTCCATTCGAGTTACAGGGCTAGTTTTTGGGGGGCCGTCAGATTCATGCATGAAATGCAAACTATAATGAACTCATAGCCAAAATCGTATAGCCCCCACAATGGGGGACATCTATGCGTTCAAGCGAAAGATACAAATACACGGATACAGATGCGGCTACTGACGTAGATACAGATACATATGCCATATAGATATTTTGCAAAAGTGATAGTGCGTTCGCCTGAACCTCTCGTAACTAGTCTTTGGGTTTATGTCTTGTGTAATGCCCGTTTCTGCTTCTTCTTCTGTTTTTTTTTGTTTTTTGTTTCTTTTAACTCCTATATTAATATATGGCTAATGGCCAGCTTCAGGGCCGCATCCAACTAGCAGATTATTCAGTCAGTTCGCCAGTTAGCTGAGGTGTGCATGATATGCGCAAAACATTTAATGAATTCAATTTAGTTGTTATTGTTCCACTTGCTATTTGCATTTTGCCAAAACCTTAAATATGATTATTAATGCGTCTGATGCGCTACATTCGAGGCCAGCCGGCTGTTAAATATAACAGCTAGAGACGTGAATTGATTTACATTGTCTAAATTCGATATAGTTTACCGAATTGGATCATCTTTGAAAGAGAAATGTTTGGGAATTTAATGGTTTATGTAAAGTAATCGGAGTTAACAGCGAGCAGCTGTGATATTGGAAGATTGATATCTGATATTGATAGCTCTACTCAATGTTTGGAGTTTTGTAACATGTCTTCAGCTGAAATAGTTAAATGCAAAATGCTAAATATGTTAAGTATATGTTAAATATTGAATTGAAGAGTGGAACACAACAGAGTTAACAACCATGATATTGGGATACTGCTGGGTAGAACTAGAGTTCAGTGATATGTTTTGAGCGAATATAGTTAAATATAAAAAGTTATGTATCTGCTTCAGCAAAAAAAAAAAAAAAAAAAAGCAAAATTCGAACAGAATTTACATTTTTAGAAAGGGAAATGTTAAGCATATGTTAAACTGTTCTGCTAGTACTGTTGAGCTAGATTTTAGCTACAGCTTTTTAACTACGGTTAATTGACTGTAAACGCTGTTCTTATCGAGTTAACTCACTGTTTAGTTGAGCTACATTACTCTTACAGTCATCTTACAGTTACATTATGCAATGCTAAACACTTAACAGTTATTATATTCTTAGAGAGAGAGAAGAGCAGTTATGTAATTAACCGGGATTTGATTTGTAGCTAAATTAAGCTAATGTTCAGTTGGTGCTTAATGAACTATTTACAGTCGAGTCCCGATAATTCGAAATGACAAGGGGATAATTGTTTTTTCGATTTACACAGAGATTAAAATTATTGAGAATTATCGAGAACTCATTTTTTAGAGGGATAACATTTTGGATTTATTGCGATTTGTGATTTTCGGTATTGATTTTCTTTTATGGTAGTGATATAGGTGATAGAAACAGATGCCGTATAAACATTATCGAATTTTTAATGATTTTTAACGGAAATATTTAGCTTTTATTAAGTCTGATAGATCACTAAAAATATTGAAAAATTTTAAGGATTTTCAGGAGAAGTCTTAGGTTAGAGTTAAGTATAGCTAGCTTGAGAAAGAATGTAGCTAAACAAAATGTAAATTGCATACAAGCTAAGAGTATTACTTTTGAGTTTACTTAAAATTATATTTGATATATATTTTCTAGAATACCCTAGAAAAACAAGCCAAGGTTACTTGTTAACTTGACTTGGGCTAATTTAAACGCTTCAAACGTATCAAACGTTAGCTACAATATAAGTTTTTATTAACTTGGCTGACTTGAGCAATGCACAAATTGTGTGAGTAGACACCGTTAGACTCGTTATCGATCAACGATTAACGATCAGCGCTGGCAATGCAGCAGCAGCAGCAGCAGCAGCAGCAGCAGCTCATCAATCATCCATTGAATGACATAAGCGAACTGTTTAAAGGCTAATGAGCCCCGATGGATATCAACACAGATTCCGGTCAAAATGTAGATCAATCTTTGTTGCGCGCCAAGAACGAAATTCTCCTCTTTTTTTTTTGGTTTTTTTTTTTTCTTTCGAGACAGTTACAAGCCACGCCCCAAGCGCCGCGAGGCGCAGCTCATTTGTAGCTCCATCAAAAAAACAAAAAATGATAAACAAACAAAAAACTGACAACTGCTGCCGCCTCGAGCAACTAAATCAATTTGAAGCTTAGCCAATGAGTTGTGTATATAAGTATGTGCATATATATCTGAAATATATATATCTGGTATACTGGTATATCTATGTAATATAGCTAATGCTGGCCGAGCTACAGCTCATTAAGATTGTGAAGAATTACGCGCGGCTCACAATTCTATTGTAATCAACTGAATGTATCTAAAGACTAGCTCAATATGTGTGTGTGTGCGTGCGTGTGTGTGTGTGTGTATTGTATCTAGATACTTCATTCAGCTAACTGTATAGTTTGTAGCTGCGGCGTTTACCGCTAAGGTTCGTGCTACGGTAAAAACTATGAGCCAAGAATGTTGTCTATGAGTGTGCATGTGTGTGTATGTGTGTGTGTATGTGTATGTGTGTGTGATGAACAAGTGAACAGAGCTGTGACTTGACTGCCAAAGCAGCTTGAAGCACAGGGGAGCTGTTAGAGTGTGTGTGTGTGTGTGTGGAGCAATGGGGCAGGTGTTTGTTTGTGTGTGTGTGTGTCTATGTGTGTGTGTGTGTGTGTGTGGCTCATTTGTGCCGCAAGTGAGTCAAAGAGCCGTAAAGCGAATGTGTCGAAGCAGCAAGAATCGCACAAACTAACAGAACCTAATGATAAAGAACACCAAAGCTTCCCCCCCTCTCTCTCTCTCACTCTCTTTCTGTCTCGCTCGCCAGCAAGTTTGCGGCTTATTTAGTATGTCAAAACATGTTTTTTTTTAGTATTCTATTTGTTTGTCTGTTTTTTTTTTTACTGCTGCAACCAACAGTCGTCGTCGTCTATGGAAAGTGGGACACAGCCGCAGTTGAGCTGGGGCAGTGGCTGCGGCTGCGGCTGCGGCTGCGGCTGTGACTGTGGCTGCCACAAGAGGTGAATAGCCAATAAATCGACGCTTGTAAATTGAAATTCTTTAGCATTGGGGTGTGTGCAGCAGCAACAACAACAACAACAACAACAACAACAACAACAACACACGCACCTGTTACTGCCGCTGTCAGAAGACATCTATGTGTCCGTCTGTTAATTGTGGTGCTTGCGCAATGCTCCGTCATCTGCATGCCACCAAAATTCAACAGCTCACCCACTCGCATGCAGTACAGTGAACACCCACTGGCAAGTACAGCACTCACTCAAACTCAGATATTTCCCGTTGATTGCATTAGGGTCCACGGTACACTTAGGACACAACTTTTTATAGCGAAAGCCTTGGCATTAAGTAACTCAATTATGGCTAGGCCTTTTTGCTCCTGCAGAGCGCAGCACCTAAGTCAATTATCTGCGGAATTCAATTACTATGCACACAAGGTTGCCCGCAAATGTGCCAGAGCAATATTGAATGGCCACTTTCATGTGGAATATTAAATGGGAGACATGTATGCATTTAGAGAGAGTGGATGGATATATGGGTTCACTCTAAAAATATGTTGCATGCGTTTTGTATATTCAAGAGATTAAAAATATCGCAGATTACTCAGAATTTTAAATGGGAACTCTACAGCCTTAGGATAATATTAAGGAGCTGTGATAATATTCTTGAGTTTTCCTTTAAATTTAAATAAATTTTATAGTCTTAATAATATTGGTCCACCCGAAACTTATTAGACATATTATTAATATTGGTCCACCCTAAACTTATTAGACGTTGCGAAAACAGGGTAGTCCTTTTATTATTAATATTTATTTATGTATTTTTATTTTATTATTCAATCATAAATATATAATTTAAATTTTATATTATTTATATATTTTTTAATTTTATATTATTAATTTAATATTGTTTCAATTTAAAAGTTTATTTTCCACTTGTTTTATATTATTAACTTGATATTTATTTAATTTTTTTTTTTAATTTAAAAAAATTATTTTTGTTTTTTTTTTTATTGTCAATTTTTAGGTACAATAAAAAATGTAGGCTCAATAAAAAAAGAGCTTAAAGAAGGTTTATTTGATTTTTATATTTTCTGCTGTTTTTATAATCATTTATGCTCTATATTATTTATGGAAATTGTTGAAACTTTGCAGTTCCTTATGAAGTTTTATATAGAATATAGACTATAGACTATAGACTATATAATATAAAATATATAGAACAATATCTTGTATAACTCAGAGAATCTTCTGTACTCCAAAATTAGCTTAGCTTATTCTATATATTCATTAATTTCTCCATATATATAACTGGTTCATTTTGATTGATTTGCACTGTACTTATAAATATGATAACTGACCTGTCATAGCTCCATTGCTGCTGCTCTCTCTGTCTCTGTCTCTGTCTCTCTCTCTGTCTCTATCTCTGTCTCTCTCCCTATCCCGCTCGCGCGCAGTTGCTGTCGCCGTTGCAGCTGAGCTTGATGTTGTTGTTGTCGTTGCCGTTGCTGTTGCTGCCACTGCGGTTGCTGCTGCTGCTCCTGCTGCTGCTGCTGCTGCTGCTGTTGCTGTTGTGGCTGTGGCTGGCTTCTGTGTGGGCAGCAGTGGAGGTGGCGTACGTTCTCTGTGCCTCAGTCTGTCAGTGGGCGTGGCTGGCTTGCGATTGTTGTTGTTGTTGTTGCTGCTGCTGCTGGTCTCGCTGCTGGCAATGTGCTTGCAAACGCTGCTAATGTTGCTCAAACTGCTGAAGCTGCTCAAACTGCTAAAGCTGCCCGAACGAGCCAACGCTGGCGGCTCTGACATAAATTTGGGCTGTTGTTGCTGTTGTTGTTGCTGTTGCTGCTGTGTTGCTGCTAGCGCCAAACGCTTTGGCGCCGGCTCTGCTAGCTGTGCGTCCTCCAACTGCTGCTGCTGCTGCTGTTGTTGCTGCTGCTGCTCTGGCGATGCAGTCGCTATAATCGTGCCCACCTCCTCCTCGTCACCCTCCTCGCCCTCAAAGCACACGTCCAGCAATGTGGCACCGCCGCCCGCCTGCAATCCTGCAATATCCTTCAGATCTATCCAGCTGGCGCCCAGCTTGTCCGCATCGCTCAAAGGCAAACTTAGGACACGCGTATCGCCCTCGTCCACAATGTGAAAGGCTTGCGTGGGCTCGATCTTCACAATGATCGGCTGGCTGGACAGTATCTGAGCGGGCGGTAAATTACATCTGTTGCTGCTGCTGCTGTTGTTGTTGTTGTTGTTGTTGTTGCTGTTGTTGTTGCTGTTGCTGTTGCTGCTCTCGAGCAGACTGGCCATGTTCTCATCGTCGTCGTCATCAACAGCTTCCAGCTCGTTGAGTTGCTGTTCAATTTGCAGGTACGTTGTTGTTGTTGTTGTTGCCGTTGCTGTGGATGCTGCTGCTGTGCAGTTGTTGTTGTTGCTGTTGGCTGTGGCACTGGCCAAAGTACGTATAGTTGTCACAGGCTCCCGCTGCCCCCGCAGCACATCCAGCTTGAGCACCGTGCACTTGTCCGTCTGCTGGTATTGATGTTGCTGCTGCGGTCGCACATATGTTGCTGCTGCTGCGGCGGCGGCGGCTGTGGCTGTTGCTGTTGTTGCTGCTGTGGCTGTGGCAACATCCGTTAGGAAAGCCAGCGGTGGCGATGTGGCCTTATTGGATGTGCTCACAGTGCGCGTGGGCGCTGCCGTTGCCGTTGGCGTGGGCGTCACCGTCGCCGTCGAGGTGGGCGTGCCAGCCGGCCGTGCCACAATCGTTGTGGCTGCCGGCAGCGGTATTATCGATATCGATGGCACTTTGCTGCGCAGACTGGCAACGGCTGCCGCTGTGGCAGCGCTCGCATCTAGATAGCCAGCTGTTGTTGTTGTTGTTGTTGTAGGAGCAACTGTTGCTGCCGTTGCCCGATTGCTGCCAACGGGCGCCGCCTGCTGTATCAGCAGGATATCTCTTGGCCTATCCGTTGTGAGGGCCGTTTCTAACACAGTTGCTGATGTAAGTTTGCCAGCAACAATTGCTGTTGTGCGTTAGTGTGTGTGTGTGTGTGTGTATGTGTGTGAGTTGCTGCTTGCTATATGCCAATATTCTTGTGTATAGCAACAGTTGCTGTGTAGTTAAAGTTAATTTCTTGAATTTTCGCACGTTCTGCAACACTTATTTTTGGCATTTACCAACACTATGCAGAAAGTAATTATCATGTATTGCCGTTGCTATGATAGAAGTTGAGTCAAGAGAGAGATTTAAATTGTAGTATTTATATAGATTTATATATATATATATTTGTTAGCCTTTTGCAACACTGTTTTTGCAGCTGCCACAATTGCTGTTAATATTGTGCGTTAGATTTTGTAGAATATTTGTAGTAGAATATTAGAGATATATAATTACATTTATATCGTTTGCCAACACTGCTCCCTTTGCACACACTTTTATAATATACATATATATATTTATATTTGTTTCCTTTATTAATTTCTACATTCGTTTCTCTTTGGGATTTTGGTGTAGAAGCACAACATCGAAATAAATTGAGAAAAATCAGCCTTACAAAAAGTGCACTTAAAATCGTTTACAATATATAAGTCACACATCTAACTTTGAATTGCTTTCAATTTATATTAAGTATGATTAAATATTTTTATTTATACATATATATATATATATAATTGTTTGACTTGGGTGTAGATACACCTGTGCTGTTGTTGCTGTTGTTGTTGCTGTTGTTGTTGCTGCTGTTGTTGCTTGCAAAATTTTGCTGCAGCTTGGAATATGCGTCGTATACTCAATTTTTGTGCTTTGCTTTGTTCTATAACTGTTCTTTATTGTTGTTGATTTTGTTTATTACGTGTAAACGTTTGCTTTATATATATGTATATATTTTGTTTTTAAGTGTTCTTTTTACTTGTATTATTTTCTCATTTGGTTTTTGTTTTTGCACAGTAAATCAGTCGCATTTGTTGTATTGTTGTTGCTGCTGTTGTGGGCCGTTGCCCAAATGCATTTCCTATTTCTGTAGTACGTCACAATATGTTGATGGTTTTTCGTGGCTGTGTGTGCTGTGTGTGTGGTGTTTCCTTATTCCCATTTAGCTATCCTGCTGCAACTGCTGCTCCAGCTGCACCTGGACTACTCTGATGTCCGTGTGTATCTGCTGCTATTGCTCTTGTTGCTCTTGTGGTTGTTGTTGCTGTTGTTGCTGTTGCTGCTGTCGTATCCTGGCGCTGCACATGCAACGAGCTGCTGCTGCTGCTGTTGTTGCTGTTGTTGCTGCTGTTGCTGTTGTTGCTGTTGCTGCCGCTGGATGGCTGCAAGGCGCCATTGGAATTTGACGTCAAAATACGAGCAACTGGAAGTGTGTCGCTGTCGTTGTTGCTGTCGACGTCGCTGCTGCTGCTGCTGCTGCTAGCAGATTTCCACATAGCGGCACGCAACCCTAGCGCTCGCTGCTGCCAGCATTGCAATGGCCAACCACCAACCACCCCGCCTGCCGATTACAACAAACAGCAGCTGTGGCTGTGGCTTTAATAATCGATTTTTCAGCACTCACACACATGCAAATCGATACACACACACACACACATACACTGGCAGCACTGCAACGCTTTCGCTTTTAAATTATTATTTTCTTGCGATTCGATTTCGAATTTTAATTATTTTAAATTTATTTAGCGAATATTTTCACAGAATTTTCTCTAAATTTTAGATTTTCTTTAGATTTCCCATTTGTTTTTGCACTAGCACAATTGTATTTTCCACGGGTTTCTCATTATTTACGCATTTTCACGCACCTTTTTCGCACTGCACTGCTCAAAGTTTTTCCACGAATTTTCTCGCATTAAATTTGTCTTGGTTTATTGCATTTGGTGCATTTTCCGCAATATTTTTATGGAGTCTTTTGTGAGTTTGTGTGTTGCACTGCGCTTCGCTTCGTTTCGTGGCCGCGTATATCCTTTCAGATGCGTCCTTTGCAGGAATGTGTCCCAAATTCAAGTGCGCCACAAACACAATTCGCGCCGCACTTTCCGTTTCGCCACTCAGCTGCTTGGAAAAAGGACTTCTAATGGGAAAAAATCGCAATGCCAGGCTGTTTCAACACACACACACATGCACACACACAACCTGCGTCTCACTGTGTGTGTGTGTGCTTTATATGCAGGCCAAAAATGGGACTCGCTGCGCTGCAAAATAGGGTTAGTAGGCGTAATGCCAAGTGCATAGCCAGGAAAAACTGGAAAAGCGCGCGCGGCATTGTTGCGCAGCTTTTCCTACCCTTAAGCGACAACGTGCTTTCCATTCCACATATGTCTCTGTATGCGTGTGCGCTTTGCTGCCATGGGAAAATTCTCTGCTGTGGTGGATTTCGTTGCTCATGGGGAAATCCGAATTTCTGTTCAATTTTTCGGTGGTTGAAATTTTGCGCGCCGAATTTGAAATTGAAATTGAGCGCGCGCACAGGCAAGAGCGGGAGGGATTGATAGACTAAAATATGCTGGATTCTATGAAAACTGTAGAGAACGGTTTATTGTACTGCCGGCAGAGTTTTTATTATGTATATAATTTTGGGAATAATTAAATAAATATTTAATGGTTTGCTAAAATATCTCTATGAAGTTGTTTTATATAAAGGAAATTGTAAGACTAAACAAAATTATTATTTTCTTATTTAAATGTTTTTGGATTTATAAACACTATATATATTATTTTATTATTACTATTTTTTTTTAATATATATATTTTTTTAATTTAGAAAAAGTATATATATGTTCTATATATTGTTTTTATTATTATTATTATTATTATTATTATTATTATTTTGTAGCTGTATTTTTTTCTTAGAAGTTATGTAAATAACATATTTTGTAACTGTAATTTAATGAATTAAAAATATATATTTTTCTAAATTTTTTTTATTATTTTATTAAAAAAAATACTAATAAAAAATAATATAAACAAATAATATATAATAATAAATAATATATTGTTTTCTTAAGTTAAATAAATAAATGTTAATAAAAATAAAAAATAATAATAATTAGAACGACTTTTGATGACAAAAAATTCATTCAAAATGATTAAAAAACTGCCAAACAGTTATAAAGCTAAACAAATACACAACAATTATAGCTAAATAAAAATCTTATTAAACGGCAAAATTAATGTAACAATTAAAATCGTTTTAAATGCTCATCGAAACCGCAAAACAAATTCAATACAAAAGACCACGAAAAAAGTGAAGCGAATCTATAGAAATGGCTGATTGAGGCGAGCAAACAGTTAGCAGCAGCTGAGATTTCCGTTAAAGATGGGTTTAATAAGAACATGCAGAAGAAGAAGAAGAAGAAGAAGCAGAAGCAGTTACGCAACCAAGCAAATGGGGCCCTCTAACTGGGCAAGCATTGAGCATTAGCTTTGACGCATCATTAGCCGTATTATCGGGCGCTTCTTTAATATTTCATGTTTTCCGTTTGCCTCAAATCATGTTAGATTTATATTTTGCTGCCAACCACAGAGTGTGAGTGTGGTGGAGGGAGGGGGAGGGAGGTACGACGACGACGACGACGACGAGTTGATGTTGCGCAAGCCAGCATCAGGTCTATCAAGCGTTAACTGGTTCTGGCCGTAAGCCTTCAATTTGGCTCAGACAAGCTTTGGCTTGCAACTTGGAGTTGGAAGCGCCGTTGGTTCTGCCAACCGAAATGTGTGCCTCACCGTTGTAATGATCGTTGTGCCACCTCCTGCCCGCACTACCTGCTGCCCGCCCTGTACCTCGTCTATTTTTCCCTCTATTCTATTTTTTTTCTTCTTCTTCTTTTTCTTTTCTTTTTGCAGTTGCAGTTGTTGGTCTTAGAGCGATTCTAACCTGTTTCTCGTGTGGCAGCCAAGAAGCTTGGAGGCGACTCCAACAACAGTAACAACAATAACAACAACAACAACAACAACAGCAACAGAAAAAGTCCCGTACGAAAGTCCCAGTTATTCAAGAGGAAAAACCTGTTACACGCAAGTGGAACTCGCTTCGATTCTGGCCAAGAACAAATCACAGAACGAGCGAGCGAGACAGCCGATCGAAGAGAAGCAAAAAAACAGCTAGCAACAACTGAAACACGTTAGTACCGTTGTGTCGGATTCTTTGTTGCGCAACTGTGTTGCAAGATTAGCTGAGCAGCAGCAGCAGCCGCCGCAGCGACTGGTTTATTGCAACGTCGCGTCGTCGTTGTTGTCGATGAGGCAACGTCTCCGCCTGCTGCTGCCTCTGCTGCCCTCTGCTGCCTTGCCTCAGATGTTGCAACATCTGCAGCTAGAATCGGAAATGCAGCGCATATATACCTACCTATATACATATATATACATCTATCTATCTATCTATCTATATATGTATATAAATTAAACAAAGCAAACAACTTTGGATAAATGGCTGGAAAACCTTGCCCAGGCAATCGCGTGCGTTGAAGCTTGACTGCGTTTTGCATTCAGTCAATTTTTCAAAACTCATATTGAGTACCGTTGCCCCGTTGCCCCTTTGCCCCTTTGCTTCTTTAACGATCAATTAAGCTACGATTTTTCTTGTTTTGTTTAGCCAAGGCTAAGACTTACCAGCGAAAATATCACCAGAATTATTTGCCAAGTGCAGCGAAACTTTTTTGTCTTCTTCTTCAGAGCTCTGATAATTATTATCATAATTATTACTATGTGCTCAATTATTGCATAATATTTATGTATACACACATATATATGTGTGTGTGTGTGTAGTTTTATTAATTTTCTAAACCTTGAAAAGTAGAAATCAAAATTTTTATGTTTGACTTTATCTGATTGTCGAATTTGTGTGGAATGAATTTTTAGTTTTGAAACAGTCGTTTAAAAACTAGGTAATCCAATCGCTAATATAGCGTAAATTATTCCTAATCAAATGAAAGGTTTTTTTTTTTTGCCTGGTGCTTAACTAATAATATGAGAAATTATTAACTTCTTAGGCCCAAAAAATCAAAGTAAATATTGGGTAAAAAATTAAATCTATTCAGCCTGCTGTATAATTTTTTATTAAAATTTAAATTAACATTGAATGAGTTGGTATTTCTTCTTTAATTTTAAAAAATCAGATTAGGAGATTAAACATTTTTTTTATTTTTATTTTTATTTTTATTTATTTTTTTTTTTTTTTAATAAATTTTCATTTTGGGTTTAATTTCAACAAGAAGTTTTGAAACTTTTTGAAGACTAAAAATGTACAATCATATTAAAATTTTTTATGAATTACATGTTCTATAAAAACAACAAAATATATTTTAACTTGAAGTAAATAGAAAATGTTTTGTATTGATTATATTGTATATATATATTAAAAAGGGAAAAGAGTGTTTGCTTTAATATATCATAAATCACCTTAGTAATATAGATATATAGATAATACAAAATATTTATTAATTGCATCTATGCAAATATTCAATTCTAACTCTTAGGTTAGTAAGAAAACTAAGCAGAGCCTATGGCAATCGATTTCAAGCGTAGGGTGAAGTTAAGTGGAGATTACTTTGTCTCACATAATTTTAAACTAATTCGCTTTTCGTGCGCTGCTCTGAGACTAAGCATAATTAATCGTCAACTTAATCATCGGCAACAAATATGAATATGCAATACATAATTGAATAAAGAGAAGGTGAAGGTTTCAGCTGAAACCATAACAAATTGAAACTTAATTTTAGGATTCGCTATGCCATTACCCAATGTATTTAGTTATAAATGAAATCAACCGAAAAAAAAGAAAACAGAAAACAAATGAATCGAAACAAGTCCTTAACATCAATTTGTTCACTTATTATGATTATGATGCTGTGGGATATGGGGCACTTACCTCTAATAGTGCTGGGCATGTTACATGCGTTCTTTGATCTCAACTAAAAGTACTTCATATAGATGAACAGTTATGCAGTGCAGCTGTAACTGTTAAATTTCAACAATAATTCACAACGTGAGCTAGAGGCGAATGCAGTTTCGATAACATTGCGGGGGCACATGTCAGTGTTATCGATAACGATATCACTTAATTAGTTCAATGCGAACCAGTTCACGATCAACGCACACGAGAGCAAACAGTTTTCAAACGGTAAATTAGCCGAAGTGGGCGCGACTCACTGATTGGCTGGCGACGAGCGCGCGCGCGCGTTAGTGGGAGACTGAGAGCGAGCTAGAGCGCGAGCGAGAGCGAGACAGAGTGCATCGGCGAGAGTGCAGGGCTAAGCAGAAGCGCAACACAAGTGGACACGCTGGACTGGACGTGTGGACAAACGCTCGAACACTAAACGGCCAGGAATTCAAATCCGAATCGGGAGTCGGCAGCGCGGACTCATCTGCCAGCAGCTCGAAACCTGTGCGGAAGGCGGGCCGAGCGGACCGAGCGGGCATCGGTCATCGGGGCTCGCGATCAGCGTCAGTTGCAATTCGAAGAAAGGAGAAAGGAATTGGCCAGCAGCAATAATAGCAGCAACAGCAGCAGCAGCAGCAGTCGAGCTCAGATTCTGTCTCAGCATCAGACAAGCTGCCCACACCCCACCCGCCTGACCCACCTGTCTGCTACAATCACAATCTCAATCACACACATACACATACGCATACGAAAAAGAATTCCCGCTAATTAAATACATGATCATCGCTCAAAAATACACCCCAGCAACACGAATGTTACAAGAGTCATTCGCGTATTTCATCAGAGTCCGATTCAAATGGTTCGAGATGAGCGCGTGACACGAGATGAGTTGAGCCGATTGAAGTAGATGCTGGAAAGGAATGAATTCCCACCAAGCAAACAAGCTCTAAAGTGTTTGCATCGTGTCACGAGCTATCGCCTGGCTGTCATCTCTAGAAAGACAGCGTCCGTTTTGGAGTCGAAATTGTTGCTGGAGCCCGTGACGTTACGTTGGGGGCCGCGTCATCGCAGCAGGCTCCAGCTGCAGCTACACACACACACACACACACTCACATACACACACATGCATGGAAACATACAAAAAAAGCGCACCTTTAACTTTAATCGTTAAATAAACAGGAAGACTTCTACAGCAAACACTTACACACACACACATACACATACATACACGCACACAGCGTAAGAAAACTTATCACAAGTCAGTAGCGGCAGCAGCAGCAGCGAGGAAAAAAGAAAAAACGAAATAAAACAGGTTGAGAAGTACCGCTAAGCGGGAAGAAACAGCAGCGACCGCTGCCTCTGCCGCCGCCTCTGCCGCTGCCCGCAAACAGTACGAAGGCAGCAGCGCCAGAGCAACAAGCCCCACAAGCAAAAAGGTCAACGAACGTTCTTAGCGAAGAAGAATGGAATCAAAACACAAAAACACGAAAAACTGAGTAAGAAAGAGAGTAAGAAATGACGGAGAGAGCGAGAGCACACGGCAGCAGTCGACCGTCATTGGTGGGTGAGTGAGCGAGCGAGCGAGCGCGCCAAAGAGCGCAAAGAAAGTGCGCGCAGAGAAAGCACGATCGCTAGGCAACTTAAGAGAGCGCCGGTGTTAAGAGTGGAAAGAGGGAGAGCGCCTGAGTGAGAGAGAGATTGCGAGCGAACAGTCAAAAAATTTATGCGGTATGCATTTTGAAAAGTATTTTGATGAAAATAACCTGAACGCAAATGTATTTTTAGCAAGAATTTCTGAAACGCAGCGGCTAAACCAAAAATGCATTAAAAGCTGCGTTCGCAACTGAAAGAGAGAGAGGGAGAAAGAAATATGGGGAGAGAGAGAGAGAATGAGATAGAGACAGCGATAGGTAGAACGCTTAAGCGTTGTAATTGTCGCGAGAAAGCCAAAAGAAATTGAAATTCTTGTTATATTGCTCAATATTTGGTAATACACACACTCACATACACACACAGATACATACGTGCAAAAGCCATTGAATGTAGCGGTATATTGACGAAATTTCTGAGACGAGCCACAAGCAAAGCTCATTGACCTCCAGCAACCGTCGACGTCGTCGTCGTCGTCGCCGTTGTAACTGTGTAATAAGCTTTTGGAGCTGTGCACGCGGAGGTCGGCAACAGCTGCAGGGGCTAGAAGTATTTTTTTTTTTTTATGTGCTGTTGGTTGGTTTTTCATTCGTTTTTTTGGTTTGTTGTATTTGATTTCTTCCGTTCGAGCTTTGAGCAATTCAACAGATTTTTATGTCTTCCTGTGCAGCTTAAAGCGTTGACTCAATTAAAAAAGAATAAAAAACAGAAACAACAGCAACAACAGCAACTCAACTGAAGTCAAAATATGCTTATGCAATTGGCCGTGTGTCTTTGGCAATCTGTTTCGCGCTCGCTCACTCCCTTAGCCGATGATAAGCCTGATGCCAACACTGTTATTGGTCAAGGCAAAATCCGGCCGAGACTGTGAAGAGTTTTGTCCAAGCGCTTAAGCAAATAGCTGCGGACTCAAATTGCCTGCAACATTGATCCCGTTTCACTGTGCGTGCATGCGTGCGTGTTTGTGTGTGAGTGTGTGAGTGTGTGGGTGAGTTTCTGTGCGAGCGTTGCGCTCATTGGCCAATTGCTTGCTTAGGGCTTCACTAGGCGAGCAGCTGCCATTGGCTGGCTGCTCTTCTGCTCTCCTTTTCGACGTCCTTTTTTTTTATATTCGCTACGCTGCGCCTGTTGCTGGCCTCAATACTCTTTGTGAAGAGAGTCGTTGCTAATTCGAGTTTACAAATGGCATGAAAATTCGTTTGATATATTAATTAATAAAAATATTATCAATTCAAAAATAATAATATGATACGCTTGTTTAATGGATTAACTGACTTTTAATAATAAATAAAATGAAATAAAAATATATATAATAAGATACTAATGCGAATTTAGCAATATTTAGAGCTTTGTTAGAGCACTAAAAATGCGACTTGGCTCAAACAATATGTTTTCTCCAATATACTTGCGCATTTGGCAGCTACAATTATTTTCATTCACAGAATTTATTTGAATGAATATTATGCGACAGGACGAAGCATATTTGGGGTATAAATAGAACTCGTCCTGAGTGAAAGTTTTCAGTTCCAAACTGGTTGTGAAATAGAACGCAAGTGCTTAAGAAGTAGTAAAACGTGTGTGTTAACTGGTAAATATAAAATATAATAATAGGAAGGTGAAGTGAAATAAGACTGTGATTTTAAAACAATCAATGTGCATATATACATTAATATATGTATGCATAGAAATGTCTATTATAAAAATACTTCAACATTTTCGAAATCATATTTTGTTAAACAAAAATATATAAAACATATAGAATACAAACGTTAAAAAAATATAATAAAATCTTTTTATATATATTAAAAAAATTTCTAAACTTTTAGCTAACAAGTTCATACACAAAAAAATGTAAAAATACATATATTTATATTTTTTACAATTGCAATTTTACCTTCCAATAATCACTTTAAATAAATTATACCCATAAATTCTAATATTAAGTCTATTTGATATTCTATTTATACACAACAAAAAATCTTTGATTTGATCTGTTTAATAACACTTTAACATGTTCATAAACATTATTGCTTGAAAAATGGTTTAACAAAAAATATTGTGTATGAAAATGTTTTCCCATATTTTTCATATCAAATATCTTAAATGCTTCATTAAAATCACAAAGACAGCATTAAAAAAAAAAACAAAAACCAAAATGTTTCAGCTATTATTATTATAATTTTATTTTTTATTAAAAAAGTGTTAGGTGTAATTCTATGAAAACATGTTTATAATTTTTATTGTTGTATACTAGAGAGATTTCCATTTTTTTTCTCGTTTTTATTTTAATTAATTGTGAATGCATGACAAAATGCAGTTCAATCAATTGTTGAATGAGAGACAGGGGTGCTCGTTATTTAATCTAGCTCATATAGTATATATATTTATATGTGTATAAATACAATGTCTATGATCGACAAAGATAGTTAGTAAATTGACAGAGTTTTGAAACAATAGAATGAAATACCAGCATAAACAATTAAAGAGCGCTCAACATTTAAACGGAATTTTGTTGGCGTTCGTTCGCTCGACTTCGATCGATGGCATGTTCTCGCATGGACCACAATTACAATACGGTCGGACAATCTGTTAACACACCAGCTACAGCTACAAATTGTTGTCATTATAATTATTGTTGTCGAAATATTTATTTATTTTGCTCGATTTTCGTGCCATTCCCAACCAGCTATAAAAGTCGTTGGAGCTGCGCATTCGATTCACACAGTTAACCAAATTCTCAATCCAAATATTTGTGCTGCCATCATTAAAACCCTTTTTTGTGACGACGACGACGACGACGACCTGTGGCTCAATGAGGTTAATACGAGCCACCCTAATGGGTAGTTGGATGACGTTTTTACAGCTGGCCACGTTTCCCAGGGAAAAACACATTCGTTCCATTCATTCGTTCCCTTCATTTCGCCATTTCATTTCCAATTAGACTGAAGCCCCACAAACGCTCTTAGACTAACGTCCAAGTTGCTATTTTTTTTCGCCTTTTTTTTACATTTTCAGTCAGCGGTCGACGTTCCAATTTGCCATTTGAATTTGACACACAAACAGCAAAAATAAAAAAAATAAAAAAAGTAGCAAAAGTTAACTAAATCCAACAAAAAAAACTCTTCCTACAGATAATGGCGCCCATGTAGCCCCACCGTTTAGAGCAGTTAACCAAAGAACAGGCCCCAACAGCTAGCAAAAGGACGGAAGCTAATACCCCCAAGTGATATATACAGCAGCAGAACAGTTAACACCCACACACACACACCCTCACACAGACAGTCGTGCAGCACGCCAGCGCCATGGACTTTAAGGAGTATCGGCAAAGGGGTGAGTCAAGTCCATAAAACGCACAGC